GAAGTACACTGCTGAGGGAAGCAGCGGGTGGGTCAGGAGAGGTCTGCCACACCATGTGGTCACCTTCGGGGCAGGCGGGAATCGAACTCATGCGGAAGCAGCTCCAGATTCTTAGTGCTGTGCTTTAACCCATTGTGCCACCAGGGAGGGCCTGTCCTTATTCTTTCTTTGTAGAGGAAGGAGAGCTTTGCAGGGTAGAGTATTCTTGGTTGTTATTTAATGCTCCACTCTCTTCTTGCCCGTAGTGTTTCTTCAGAGAAGTCTGATGTCATCCCGATCGTTATCCCTTTGTAGGTTGTTTCTTCCCTCCCTCTTGTCATTGTCATTGTCTTTTCCTTGTCTTGTATTCTTGGAAGTTTTATAATAATATATCTTTCTGTTTTTCTCCTCTCATCATGGGGTTCTTCTTGCTTTTTGGATGTCTGCTTTCTTCATATTAGGGAAGTTCTCTTCTATTATCTCTGTGAATATTTTCTCTATTCCTTGGCCTTTCTCTTCGCCTTCTGGGATACCTATAACTCTGATGTTTCCTTTACTAATGGTGTCAGATAGCTCTTGAAGTGTTTCTTCATTCCTTTTCCTTTTTACTTCTTTCTCTTTTTTTAATTGTTTCTGTGTCTTCAAGTGTGCTGATTCGTTCTTGCATTTCTTCTATTCTGTTTTCATTACTTTTCCCAGTCTTCTTTTTCTCCTCTAGTGGCCTTTTCATTTCCTGCATTTCTTCTATTTCCTTTTTTTTATGTTTCATTTTCTTTCTTCAGTCCATTGTTTGCTTGTCTCATATCTTTTCCCTTTGTTTCCTTTCTTTCATTCATTTCTTTGATTGCATTCTTCAACTCCTTGATTGCATTCTTCAACTCCTTGATGGTTTGCCTCATTTCATTTATTTCCTTCTCATCATCTTTCTATTTGTTTATCGTGGTGATTCTGAATTCTTTATCTGGTAATCTGAGCCATTGTTCCATTTCTTTAGGGGTTTCTGCTGACTGATCTTTTTGTGGTGAATTTTCCCCCTGTGCACTTGCTTTAGTATTTGCTTGTTTTCTTTTCCCTGTTGTGTATTTTCTAATACTTTCTATTCACTGAGACACGGTGTTGCTATTATTTACTGGCATTTTTTTTTTTGGATGTTCTTTTTGGAATGGCTGAGGGACTTCCAGACACTTCAGTTGTCGAGGGTATCTGGGTTGTGTTATTTTTCCCAGCCCCCACTCTGTGTAATTGTGTCTATCATCTCAGCTGATAACAGTCAGGGGTCCCTTGTGGTGTTCAACCTCTGCTAGTAACACATTGAGTCCGTGTTTCTGGAAGGTGTCTGTTAATCTTTGTAGCCTTCAGATGTCCCAGGTTCCCTCTGTGCTTGGTGTGTCCATGGTGGGTATGATGTATTAGAAGTGACATACAACAAACTTTTATATCAGGAGCAATCATGTGAGTTTTTTATTACTTTACTCCTCCTCTGCCATCCCTCAGGGTCTCCGGGTCAGTGATCAGAGGATGCCTCCAGCTGGGTCTACAGGAGACCAAGTGCTGGCAGCCCCAACTCCAACCCAAGTCCCGGGGAGCCACTGGGACCAGGGAGTCAAGAGAATTTTTAAATTTAGGTTCTAAATATTGGTTTTAAGACTCAGTTTTTGGCTTCTTTTCTGGAAAGCATTTATAGTTACATACAACTTATTTACCCATAAGTGAGTGGAAAGTAGAGTTAATGAATGAGACTGAAATGAATTCACCAAGCACAAAAATTGTGTTATTTATTTACTATAGTTTAGATAAGCTGGGACTTGTTCTTGATACTTAGTGTTTTTTAATCATTACATTAAATTTGTAATAGCTGACCTTAGAATTTTCATGGGATCACATTAGAACCATAGTCCTGGCTGCTGCTCCAGGCACTTCTCTAGAATTTTTTTTTTAATATTTATTTATTTATGCATACAGAAGTGGTGCACAGGCCAAAGGTGCATGGGCGATGAGAGCATTCATCAAAGACAGAGTGGGGAACAGAACAGGAAGATAGATGAAGTGCATTGCTAAGGGGAGCATAGGGTGAGGCAGCGGGTGAGGCAGCAGAGGTCTTATGTGCTATGTGGGTCATTTCCAGGGCTGGGGATTAAACAACGACTGGCTTCGTAGTGCTGCATGTTATCACATTGGGCCACCAGGGAGGGCCCTCTAAAATGTTAAAATTCATAGAAGTAAATGAAGATCAACTGAATCATGTACATTAATACTTTGTTACTGTGATTTAAAGTAGTGTTTTCCTCCCAAAGCAACAAAATCTTGGTGAAGTAAACAATCCAATTTTCAATAAATGTGTAGTAAAAGTAAAGATTCAAGTAATCCCCTCAAATGAAAAATGGGCAGAACAGTCTTTTATCATTGCTTTAAAGTGTTTACAAGTCCTTAATATGTAATACTAAATAATATTGATGATAAGAAAAAGATGTTCTTGATAGATATCAGAAGGGATTTAATTAAGTAAATGAGATTCATCTTTTTATTAGAAGAGATTTCTCACAGGAAAAAGAAAAAGAAGACCTAGTTATTAGATAACTTGTGGTGGTAGATACAAATAAATTAGCTACTGTGTTTGGGAATATAATTTCAAGCACAGAGTAAATAAATGTAAACAGGTTGCTTGTTGGAATTCTCAGTCCTGGTTTATATTTGTGGCTGGTAGCTTTTCTTAAAATAAGGAAATTTTTTGATAAAGAAATCTGCAGAGAATGCATCTTATGTCAGCTATTGGGTTTGTATGCAAATGAAGCTTTCCTCTATGCTATTTATTAAACAATATTTTCCAAGTGTTTCCTCTTTGCCATGCTTTGTGTTAATTGCTGGTGTGAAGTGTCCTTGTTCTGTAGGAATTTATATATCTAAGGACTTAAAACTAGCTAGACATTTTGCATTTGTATGGCTTTATCAGATAGTGTGCTAATTAAGTACAGCAGACCAACACGTGTGGAATATGTTCACTTGTTTTTATTCCATCCATTTTTTAGTGAAATGGAAGGTTACTGGCAGTAATTTTAAGCTACTAAGTGTTCGCTTTTCTTTAAAAAAAGGAGCTTTTAATTTATTTAAATTGTGTGAATTGTGCTTTTGTCCGCTATAATGTTTGATCATGATTCAGTTTTATTCTGAGATGACTGACTCATTTAACTTATTTGTTTTAAAATGTAATGGTTAAGTTGCAAGGATCATAGGAGCTCCAGGTTGACAGTAGGTTGCAGTACATTTACCCTCCCATGGCAGCTGTTGCTTATGTCGCTTATGCATACTTGGTAAGAATGTAAATCCGTGGCTACTAGTGATTAAAAACTGAAAGGTTCATCAATGAGATGAAAGAATGTACCTTTATTTCATATAGTTTTTGTGTGTATTCATTTCATGTGGTTTTGGAGTAAGGATACTATAACTTAAGTTTAGCAATATCCTAGAAAATTAATTTTAATCTTTGTGTTTTCTAGAGGAATTTCATGATTAATAAAGCAGAAAGTACTGTGCATATTTGTTCTATTATCTTAGTGGCGGGAAGAGCAAAACAATATATTCAGTCAGAATATCATTGTACCAACAAATCAAGAGCAAGTTATTTTGAGTTTTATAATTCTGATATATATTGCACATATATATCAGATATATATAAAATAATCTCTTAGAAGGACTTGAATTGGTGAGATGACTGCATGATTCTCTGTATTCTTTTTTTGTCTAGTTGGTAATTCCATTAACAACCCAAGATGACTTGGACAAAGCTGTGGAACTACTAGATCGTAGTATTCATATGAAAAGTCTCAAGATATTACTTGTAATAAATGGAAGTACACAGGTATGAATTGGAATTTATGATTTAATTGAAGCTTACACATTGTAATTGTTCTACTTTAATTTTCTCAAAACTATGTAGCCAAAAAGTATAATGTACTGTACATATAAAACTAGTAGAAACTGAAAACTTAGGAAGAATTACTTTAGAATTAGTTTCAAAGAGTAAATTTGATAAGGCCTGCAAACAATGTAGACTGTTTCGGTTATATTTGGTAGGTGGTATGTGTATAAAACCTTGATTGCCTATATTTTATTTGGTAGGACTCTGTTTAAAGACCTAAATGGAAAGAATAGCATTAATCATCTTTTTCCCTTTGTAGGCTAATAATTTAGAACCATTACCATCCCTGGAAGATTTGGATAACACAGTATTTGGAGCAGAGAGGAAAAAACGGCTTTCTATAATAGGTAAGAAAACCATTGTCAGAATCATATTATGGGTGGTTTCTCAGTTTCTTTTCCACCATTTAATGTAGGATAACACCTAAAAATAACCCTGATATAGAGTGGTCTGTTTTTGTAATTGATGTCAATTAACTATGCACTGGTATCTAATATCCCTTGAAGAGTTATTCAAATATTAACAGAATTTATTATCTCAACTCCTGTATTTCTTTCTTTATATAACCAGAGTATTTTAATATTTAACAGATTCAAAAACAACCTCAAAGGTAAGTGAAGGAGAAAATTAAAAGGTGTAATTCTAGTATGTTGAGATTAACAGATAGACTTAAGTTCATACACATTTCTCTCAGTTTTTAACAATAATGTTGGTGATAGTAATTACCATTAATGTTATCAGAAAAGGTTGGTTTATTATGCTTTGTTATAACTTTTTTAATAGCTAGTTTTTGTCACTAAAAATTATGTTATGGTTAAGCATATGTTATAAAAGAAAATGAATCTTGCATACTGTGTTTTTTTTTAAGGAGGTCTAATAGAGAGGTATGGACAGGATAGGTGCTCTCAGCTCTTCATTTTCTGTGTACCTTCAGTTTGTGTAAAACTTTGGTCACCTACATTTTACATGATAAAAGTATTATTTAGCTCAAAAACCACTGGTGTAAATGTTCTTAATAGATAGGGTAGTGGACACGGTCAGTAAAGATGGCATGAAAACATGCAAAGAATGAATTTGAAGGGTAAAAGTGGGAGAGTAAGTGAAAAGTGATTAGCAGGGAAGCAGGAGAGTGGGACAAAATGAGAGAAGTGGTTGGAAATTTAAGAAGACTGGCAACAGAGTAGGAATATTAATAACAAAAGATTAAGTTGGCATGCAAATCACCAAAAAAAAAATCTATTATTCAAATTTTTTGGTCTCCAGAACAAACTGTTTCATAACTGCTTACTTTTAAATGTCTGTCTTTTGGTTTCAGAAATGATGGAAATGTGGTCAGCAGAGATGACATTTGGATATATATTTTCATTTATATATGTTTTGATACCATTTAAAATTTTGGTGAACTAGGGCCCTCACTGGTGATGCAGTGGGTTAAAGTGCAGCACTATGAAACTATCCACAGCCACTGCAGCATGAGTCAGGGAGGTGACCTCCATTGGTGACCTGTCCTGTCCTTCTAGCTGCTCCATTTAGCAATGTATTTCAGTCAGTCTGCCTGTTCTGTTCTCTACTCTGTCTCTAGTGAATCCTCTTACCCCCTCCCCTGCCATCTCTGGCCTGTATGCCAGTTTTTGTATGCATAAGTAAATAAATCTTTAACAAAAAAAATAAAATTTTGGTGAAATAGCGTTAGGAATAACTGAATTCAAATTATAGCTCAATAACCTGAGACTACCAACTTTAAGTTGTGGAATTGTTATAGCAATAAATTGGGGCACTTTTAAACTACATTTTGCTTTTCAAAGTAGAAAGCATGTCTTTTTAATCATAACATTTCTTTATTTTTAAGGTTTATTTTATTTATTATTATTTATGCATACAAAAGCTGGAATGGAAGCCAGAGTGGTGTGTTGGGGGTGGGGGAATGTGTGTGTGCGAGAGAGGATTCACCGGAGACAGAGTTGAGAGCAGAACAAGGTGATTGACTAAAATACACTGCTGAGAGAAACAGCAGACAAGACAGGCTTCACCATGTGGGTCACCTTCCTGGCTGGGAATCCAACTTGTGAGGTAGTGACTAATTAGCTTCAGAGTGCTGTATCTTAACCCCTGCACCACCAAATAGGCCCATACATATCTTTATTTCCTTTTCTTTTTTATTTAATTTATTTATTCATACAGAACTGGGGTACAGGCCAGAGATGCGGAGGGTGAGAGGATTCACCAGGGACAGAGTGGGGGGCAGAACAGGCAGATCAATGAAGTACACTGCTGAGGGGAGCAGCGGGCGGGTCAGGAGAGGTCTGCCTTGCCATGTGGATCTCCTCCTGGGCAGGCGGGGATCGAACTCATGCGGAAGTGGCTTAAGCTTCTTAGTGCAGTGCTTTAACCCGCTGTGCCACCAGGGAGGGCCCTATTTCCTTTTCTTATTATATTATAGTACCTATCATTTTAAAGCAATAGATTGCCAATTCACTTTAGTTGCATTGGACAAAGCAAGCTAACTGCATTAAATTGATGCTTTAAAAATGAAAGCTACTAATATCTCACTTTTATTCTACTTATACATATTCTTGTTGTTTGACTTCAGAGCCAGCATAAAGAGACTGGCTAATACATAAAATTACAGGTCTTTTATTGGCATCTCTTTATATTTGGATTGGTTTTGATAGATGTTACCATTATAGTTTTCTTTAATTATTTTCATAAAAGAATGCTACAACAACTTCTTTTGGGATGAGATGAAAGTATTTTGCAGGTCTGGCAATCTTGACCAAGAATGCATTGGTATACCCATTACTAACAAAAGTTAAGAAGACTGAGTTGTGAAGTAGGAAGATGAAATTTTTATAACCCTTTTTACTCCTTATCTCCTTTTAGTAATGAGTAAAACAGTGCATATGTAAGGAACGAAAATATAAGTGGCAAAGAGTTAGTATAGAAAATTATCTCTGTTATACACTTCTCTTGGTAATCATTTGGTTCTCTCTCTCCTTATTTTATCTCCAGCAAATGTTGGTATACAACAGTTCCTTTACATAAGGCAAAACTTTTTTTTTCTCCTTTAAATTTGATAAAAATTTAACTTCCCCATTTTTTATTTTTATTTTATTTTATTATTTTTTTAAAGATTTATTTATTTGTGCATACAGAACTGGGGTACAGGCCAGAGGCTCAGGGGCGGTGAGAAGCTTCACCAGAGACAGAGTGGGGAGCAGAACAGGCAGATCTACGAAGTACACTGCTGAGGGAAGCAGCGGGCGGGTCAGGAGAGGTCTGGCTCGCCATGTGGTCTCCTCCGGGCAGGCGGCAGGCGGGAATCGAATTCTTGCGGAAGTGGCTTCAGATTCTCAGTGCTGTGCTTTAACCCGCTGCGCCACCAGGGAGGGCCTCCCCATTTTTTATTTTAAAAAATTAGGAGGAATGGGGAGAAACTGTTAATTAAACATAGCATCATTTCTGTAGAATCAAGTAAAATTAGATTTATAGTCTCATAAGAAATGATGCAATTGATTAGATATACTATTAGATTCCCTCATTTTCTAAACTGTGAAGAAATTTAAATTCCAGGAGTGTATCTTGAAAGAAAGCCTGATTTTTAAGTGCCTAAGAATAAAGCCCGGGATTCCAAATTTATTAAGCTCTAATATGAATTAAATGACCAAGGAAACAGGTTTCTGGCGATTGTATAACTTTTTCAAAGATAGACAACTGGTATAACTAGAACTGGGGTTTGAACTGAGGTCTGACTCTACATTTAGTACCAGTAATTTTGTAGATTTTTTGTATGTATAGTTAATTAAAATTTAGTTCCCTGCTGATATTTATAAAATCATTTAACTTTTCCTCTTGAGGTTCCACTAGTAGAGACAGAAGCTCCCCTCCGCCAGGTTACATTCCAGATGAATTACACCAGGTTGCCCGGAATGGGTCATTTACCAGTATCAATAGTGAAGGAGAATTCATTCCAGAGAGCATGGACCAAGTAAGCAAAAGTTGATTTTTACTTTATGTTAAGGGCTGTTATCAGGTTTGTGTGGTTTGGCAGGTTTATCAAGGATGTGTATGTGTTTACTCTTTCCTAATTCCATACTGTGCTTGTTAAGTGAACTCAATAGTAAAAGGTGAAGGAAAAGAAAATGTGTGGGTGCATTTATACATAATGAAAGTTGTAATAAGACTAATATTTTTTACATTGCTTATTTGTAAATGGATAAATGTGGTTTGTATTAATGTTCATATTTTTACATTAATATTTAAAAGATAGAGTAAAACTTCAGATAATTAACTTGGTGAAACTGAGGTTTGTCAACTTTCTAAATATTTAAACTTTTTGAAAGTTTTATAGTATTGAAGTGATTTTATGGAATTGTTGTTATTTTCTTAACATTACATTGGTTGCTTAAACTATTGCAGGAATTTATATTTTCTGATAACATAGCAGCCATGATGCCTTTTGTCTTGGTTCTTGAGTTTTTGGTAAGGAAAACCATGTGAAATATTTCAGTTTTGATTTTACTGACAAACTATAGAGAAATAGTTTTTTCTCTTAGGAAATTTTGAAGTTGTATGTGTTTTTTTTACTTTATGTGTAGTTTGTGTGTAGGGGACAATTACATTTAAAACATTTAAAAAATAAATAATATTAGGAGTGATTGCTATTGATAGTGGGTTTCTTTTAAGGGTACTGAAAGTGTCCTAAGTTTGTAGTGAGGATAGTATGACTCTCAGTGTACTAAAAATCACTTAACTGTATGCTTTATTTTATGTTATGTCTCAACAAAATATATCTCAACAAAACTGTTATTTAAAAAAGCCAGTAACTTATGATGTCTTATAGAACCATAATGGAAATCTTTGTTTTTCTAGATGCTGGATCCATTATCTTTAAGCAGCCCAGAAAATTCTGGCTCAGGAAGTTGTCCATCCCTTGATAGTCCTTTGGATGGGTAATGTTGATTATGGTTTTGTTTTAATATATGTAGATAAATGTAACATGTGAATTACCAACTTTTTGTGTGTTACATTCAGGGGATACTTGTCTATGCTTATGGCAAGTGAGTATTTTTTTTTTTTATAGTTTGGACAGTTGCCTTTATATGGGCTCTGTATCTTTGTAAGCTAAAATGAAAGCTGACTATACTATTTTCACGTAACAAAAGTATAAGAAGGAATTTCTTATTAAAATTGTGTGATTGAAGATAAATGCAAACTTAGAATTTATGTACATTTACTTTTACAACTGTTGGTGAAATTGTAGCATTTCTTGAATTGCTTCATCTGTTGAGAATTATATTCATTTGGGGACCAAATTATAAATAAGTAGCTTACTCAGTATGTTTGCTGTCATTTAAAATTTATTGCTTTTATTCTGTGAAGTGATTGTTCAGGAATATAAGTGGAGACAAATTGTGTTGTGAATATTTTGTTTTAAGTGCTCCCTCTTGATTCTAATAGAACAGTGCTCATCTGGGACTGCTTTATACAAGCAAATTTTGAAAATATAGTTAATGTTGTCTAGGTATAGATGCTTAATTTTCTGTTATCTGCATACATGAAGCCATTTTCTGTCCAGTCTACCTCTTAATTTATAAGAAAGTCAGGGAAATACTGAAAGTAGTGAGAGAGCTATATAATTGAGTACATAATATTTGAAAGACATGTCCTGAGCACTTTCCATATACCTATCTAAATACATATACGTACACACTCTCATTTTCTCTTAGTGATTTTGAAATTATTATTTTCTTTTTATATGGAATCACTTAATAAAAGTGATTTGCCAAGGTTGTTACATTGCTAATTACCAAAACTCTATGATTCCAAAATGTATAACTTACAACTGTACTCTTTCGATTAATTTTATTTGTTTTAGACATTTACAAAAAAAATTGCAATAACATCAGTGATCAACACCTGTACTCCCCCTATTGCTGGGAGGAAAACCTACATATAGTTAAGTCTCAAAGGAAAATCAACACATTATCATGAGGTACCCAGTAGCCAGAAATAATTATTGGCTAGTGGTAAAGAAATTGACATGCCAGTATATCAATGTAAATATATATATTTATAATTACCCTGCAAAAACATAAGAAATGAAATAACTGCATTAAACAATTATTCTCTCATTCATTCACTTTTTCTCTACCTATGAAATTATCCCTATAGTCACAAGGACAAATGAGTGAAAGGACTTTGTAGCAAATAACATGAATTAATTTTTAAAGCCAGGCTTTTTGCCTGCAAGTACAAATTAAGTGCTTCAAATGGACTTTCTCTTTTTTAAAATTACATTAACATTTCAAAGTGAATTCATTTATAGGGAGGTAGGCAGGTAGGTAAATTAGATACATATACCTATCTAAATACATATACATACACACTCTCATTTCTATGTCTAAAAAAATATTTAAAATACAAATATTTTTCTCATGTGTAATTTACATAGTATTAATTAACTTGCCTTTTTGTACTTTTAGAGAGAGTTATCCAAAATCACGAATGCCTAGGGCACAGAGCAATCCAGATAATCATCAGGAATTTTCAGGTTAGAAAATGCATATTCTAAATGTTTAAATATTTCTCATTGACTACTGTTTTGATTGGATGCAAGAGGGGTTTTTTTTTTAATCTAAAATCTGTTCCTACTTTTGGGCATCTATCCAAAGATCATAAAAGCATTAATGCAAAAAGCTGTATCCTCTACAGTGTTTATTGCAGCACTATTTACAATAACTAGAACATGGAGGCAGCCTAATTACCCATCAGTAGGCAATTAGATCATGAAGATGTGGTATATTCATGCTGTGGAAAACTATACAGCCATTAGGAAAGATGAAATGATACTATTTACAGCAAAATGGAGGGAGTTTGAAGTAATTATATGTAATAAAGCATGTCACAATGATAAAAACAAATATTGGACATTTACATTTATATAACACACTATGAGACAAGAGTTTTTACTCTGAAAAATCATCATGTATTTTTTATGTTTTTCAAGCAAAAATGTGTCAAGACTTTTCCAATAACTCAATAGTTACCAGTAAACATTAATAAACTGTGAGGGCTCTGAGGAAAAGGGACAAAGGGCTATAACAGATGGTAGAGGAGGTAAAAGTAAATTTGTAAATGTGTTTTCATCATTAAAAATACTGACTTTTTAATAACATTTAATTTCTTATGTGTCTTAAATAGACTATGATAACCCCATATTTGAAAAATTTGGTAAAGGAGGAACGTATCCAAGAAGGTATCACATTTCATATCACCATCAAGACTACAATGATGGTATGTATCTGGCAATTAGGACATAACTGTTAATAATCTCAAAATAAAAATGAATTAAAAAAATTCATATTGATACCACTAGAAGTAAATTTGTTCTTGAATCACTTGTTAAAATTTTTTAAACAAAATTGCATCATCACAGATAACATCTTAGCTTTGTGCCAGCTGTCTCACTATTTAGAATGGTATGAATTCAAAATTTAATTTCTTGATGCTAGCATTTGCATGTGCATCATCTGTTTAAGGAAAAAATATTGTCAATAAATCCAAATTTTTTAATGTTTAAATCATTATTGGAAATAATAGAATTTTTCCCTCTCTTATTCAAATACAAGGGTGTTTTATTCTGTGATTTTGTGTGAGTTTACATAAGAGCTTATTTGAATTTGTATTCAGATCCTGTTTCTCCCCCCCCCCTTTTCATATCTGCTTTTATCTTTTCTTTGTATTTTTGCATGGTTCAGTGTTAACAAGGATATATTTATGAGCTCTTTAAACAATTACTGCTAAAATCATTGTGATTTTAGTTTCTTAGTCTAGTCACAGGACAAATTTCTGTTCCATGTGTTACAAGTTATAAATACTTTCGATTGCACCATGCTATAAAAGATATAAGATAATTCTGTTTGCATTTTTTTTTAGGTCGTAAAACTTTTCCAAGAGCTAGAAGAACCCAGGGGACCAGCTTCCGGTCTCCTGTGAGTTTCAGTCCTACTGATCACTCCTTAAGCACTAGTAGTGGAAGCAGTATCTTTACCCCAGAGTTTGATGATAGTCGAATCAGAAGAAGGGGAAGTGACATAGACAATCCTACTTTGACTGTAATGGACATCAGTCCTCCCAGCCGCTGTAAGTAATAGAAATTGGCACTGTGAGATGTATAGCAGATCGAACCTTTGCAGGCTTTATAATATTAAGAGGAATAAATACCAAGCCTGTCCTATGAATGAGACCGCCTTCTCAAAAGAGGTAAAGATGGTATTTCTAAAGGTGGCTGGAGTGTCAGTGCTTGCTATTATTCCTAACTACTTTATAATGCTGTCCTTGGATAAATTTATAAAAATTCATTCAGTTATTCATTCCAGATAGATTTTTGAATACCTAATGTTGAGATTTCAAACATGACCTCTAAGCTAAAGTCTAGCAGGGAGAATGATGTATGCAGAAATAATTATAATGTAGCAGTTAATCTAGATCTTGAATATAAGTAGAAATTCACCAGTGATGAAAAGTGACATGTGCAAGAGACCATGGCATGTTCAAAAAATGAGGAATAGTTTATTTTTGTCTGAAGTGGTAGATAACTTATTTGAAACAGTGGGAACAGGACTAGAATGGTTATGAAGGCCAGATTATGAAGTATTTGGACTTAATATTAAGTGAGCAGTACATACAAAACATTATGTTCAAAATCTTTATTGAAGCTTGTAGTGCTTATGTATTTTACTTTTACATGTCTGACCTCATACTACATTGCTGTTAATTTTTGCTTTATCTTTTAAGTGTTTAAAAATAAGAGTTTCTTTTATTTATATCTGTATTTACCTCTGTAGATCTTTGTTTATGTAGATCAAGACTATGAAGTATAAATTACTTTTGCCTGAAGGAAATTAAATTGCATTTAATTTTTTTTTTGATTCTTCCATTCTGCTTTGTTTGCTTTTTTGAAAGGGTTTTTATTTCTCTATTCTTGAAAGATATATTTTCTGGGCAGTTTTTTTTTTTTAATTCTTTGAGCACTTTGAAACTATTCTTGCTTACCCTCTGCTTTATATGCCATCTGAATAGAAGTCTGTTCTTTCTTATCTCTCTGCCTCTGTATGCTTTTTACTTATAGCTGCTTTCAAGATTTTTTCTTGTTAGAATGTGAGTGATATTCTTTCCAACTTTCATCATAATAGAAATTATTACAAATATTTCTGCAAAAGATTAGAAGACAGTGTGCATATTATGACCAGTGCTATCTTAGATTGAGTGAAAGGTGTTATTACATTTGTAATCAGAAAAAAATACCAGTAGTACTGGAAAAAAAATTTATGGGGTTATGAACCATGTGTGGGTTTAGAATTCTTAAAAAATTGGGTAAAGAAAAAAATTTTGAAAGATGATATTATTTGGGTGAGTTACTATGTAATTTGGGTGTTCAAGACTTTCTTATCCAAGAATAGTCCATTAGGGATGTCATTAATTCATTATACTCATTTAGTCCTTCACCATTTATATGACATCTGACTATTCCATTTTAAGAAAATGTTCCTTTTTAGCACCTCGTGCTCCCACCAACTGGAGACTGGGTAAACTGCTTGGCCAGGGAGCATTTGGCAGGGTCTACCTCTGTTATGATGTTGATACAGGAAGAGAATTGGCTGTTAAGCAAGTTCAGTTTGACCCTGATAGCCCTGAAACCAGCAAGGTAAGAATCACCGCACAAGTTACTTTGTCATATGATAAGCATTTTTACTATATTTTTAATATAACAGAGAATATTTTGTTTTCCCTTTAATATAAATTATTGGCAAAAATTTTTAACTATTCATTAACTTTGTATTATGATATTCCTCTTTCAGTATTATTACAGTCCTCTGATTTAGTGTTTAACATATTGTCCAGAACTACTATAAAAGTTACTGTTTAGAAATTTCAAAATGGGAACCTCCCTGGTGACAACAAGGGGTTAAGTCTCAGCACTATGAAGCTATTGGCAGCCACTGCATCACAAGTTTGATCCCCAACCAGGATGCTAACCACATGGCATAGCAGATCTCTCCTGTCTTGCCTGCCACTCCTTTCAGCAGTATATTTCAGTCAGTACAGCTATTCTGTTCCTTACTTTGTCTCTGGTGAATCCTCTCACCCTCCCTGAACCACTGGCCTACACCCCAGCTCCTGTATGAATAAATGAATGAAATTTTAAAATGTTTATTCAGAAACATTTCAGAATGAAATCACCTTGTTGGTTAATGAAGTTCAAAGCTTTTGCTTTTACTAGCAATGCTATAGAGACTTAACAATGAGTTCTATCTTTCAGGAAGTAAATGCACTTGAGTGTGAAATTCAGTTGTTGAAAAACTTGCTGCATGAGCGAATTGTTCAGTATTATGGCTGTCTGAGGGATCCCCAGGAAAAAACACTTTCCATATTTATGGAATATATGCCAGGGGTAAGTTAGTAACATTCTTTGAAGAACAGTAAAACTTTGATTATAAAATTTTAACCCTAGATAAGAACATTTGGAATAGGTTTAATTTAGAGTTGAGTAATAAAAAATTTATTTTTTATTTTCTATCTTTGTGTTTTCAAACTCATTTTTAAAAATGCTAAACTCTGCTAAAAGAGGTTGTATATACATTATATCAGTCCATATGTAGGTTCTTGAAATAGCATAGAAATATCCATAATAAGAGGGAATGTAAACCATGATCTAGTCTAGAACCACAGTGTACATTTAACTATTTTGTCCCTTTATTCCTCTTTTAATCTAGAATGGTTATTTTTACATGGCATAGATGTGGCAAAGAGTCTTAAGTAGTTGTTCTTTCTGTTAACCATCTTGCACAGAGATGTCTCAGATTACTAAATGGTGTTTATTCTTTTATACTCTATATACTGTAAACCCCAAGTTAGATAAGTCTAAAATTGAGATTAAAATTTAGTTTTTGTTAGAATGTACTATAGATGATGCTGTGGTACTTCATATTGCTTTCATCAGGACATGTAGTTTCTTGTTATTCCACTGTTAATGATGCTAAGATTTACTTACATTAGGGTGATCAACAACCTGATTACTCCATTGTTTTTAATTCCTAAATACTAGGAGATAATCTTAGTTAGAGCAGTGACACACAAATATAAATACCAAGGTTTTTTTTCAACCATCCACCTAATGATTTTGATACAGATTGATAGTAATTGCCTGAGTCAGTAATTTCCTCAGGAGTCGCAAAATGTGGTTTGCAAACTCTCTTATTCCTTCTATGTTATTTTTAGTATTTGTAGAGTAATGACTTTCATTATTTAAAAATACACGCATTTTCATAATTTAATATGTACTCTACATTAAAGGATTGGATCTTTGGATCTTTAAGGGAGTAGCCTATTAGAATACTATATAAAATGTACATGATTGTATTTTAAGCATGTGGATCAGTGAAATTGTGGCTCACTATCCCATAGTAGATAGCCACATAATAGAAGAGCCACCGTAAAACCTTGTTTTTCCCTATTGTGAATATTTGTTTACAGTGATAACATTGTTACTTTTCTTTGCAACTTTTTTATTTTTTCAAGGAGTCTTTTGGCAATGTAAGTTGGTTTAAAAAAGAATACCTTTGGAGAAAATGTTAGTGCAATATCCTAAAAACTAGAAAAGACTTTGACTTGGTAATTTCATAGAAATTTATTCTACAGAAGTAATCCAAAGGAAGGAAAAAGCTGTGTATATTTATTTTACTGCTATTTGTGATAAGAAGTAAATGGAAAGTGCCCACAATGGAAGTAAATATGCTGGCATTTTCTTAAAGATAACATATGTTAAAAATTAAAATTATGAAAGCCATACACACACACACACACATGTATATATCAAGGTTAGAGGAAGTATCTTAAAAAGAGAAAAAAATAATATGCAATATATTTAATTGTTATGATATTCAAAAATAATTTATTTAAATAAAGACAGAAGACACTTAGAAAAATGAAAATGTCTTATATTGAGTTTGGGATTGATTTTTTTAATTCAGATTTCCTTACTTTTCATACTATAAGAATTTAAAATAGGAAATAGTTATGCATAAGGGTGATTAAATCCAGACTGTTGAAGATCAAACTAGTTAAAATGTTTAATTGGTTTGAACTGTTTTGTCACAAGTGGAGATGGATAATCTTTATATATTTAATTTATTAGGTTATGTTTCTCATTTAGCTACCTTTGACTTTTTAAAGGCAGTGATCACCTTCAAAGCCTCAGTTGTCATTTCTTGAATTTGAAAAGCTTATTACTAAACTAGTAATAGTTCACTAAGTCTTAAGTGAATTATAAATATTGCAAGCCCATGGCCTACATGGGGTAGATATATATGTTCTACATCACTGACTTGTGAATGATGCTATTTAATATCCCTCATTAAATTTCATATAATGGACCCTTTTATGCTCTAGCTTCAGGGTTTGCCAAAATCATTCCATTCTACAGCTTTTTCAAACATAATGTTCCATTCCTTATTTCAGACTAGAAAATTTCAGACTAGAACCAAAGCTTTTATTTTCAGTACTAGCATTAGCAGTTGATTTCTCTGTTAATGTTACACAAACACACACACATCATTTTTAGCTGGCACAGTGCATCCCAATCTATTCCAGTTGTTCACACTGAGAAAGATAATATTTTTATGGTATGTCAGGGTAACCAGACTATACCAGTGGAGCTATTAGTAGCCATAGGTTACTGGCCTAGAGGCCAGTTCAGAGGGTCTTAAATTTCCTCATTCATTGGCTGCCTTCAAGTATTTGGGTGCTTTGTGTTTGGAAAACTCAGTTCTAGCTGTTTTATTTTATTACTACTATTACAGCAATAAGTAGACTGAACAAGCAGGCCACATTAAATTATAGGAGGGTGGTTTACGGGGTTCACTAATTACCTAAGGCTTTCCACCTGTATTTGCAAGTTTTCATCAGCAGAACTGCATCTTACAGTCCCTTCAAGAATTGCTCATGCACAGAAGAAAAAGCAAAGGTAAAATCTAAGGGTCAACAGTTTACAAAAGCATGAAGTTTACCAAAATTTAAGGAGAGGCAGAATATGTTTGGATTTATTACTTGTTTAAAAGAAAATATTTTGCCCCTCTGGAAGCAGTTTATTTGTATCTTAAGTGTGATTATTCATCAGAATTGCACATTGGAATTAGTAAAGATGCTTTTTCAAAATTGAAATGCCAGAATATTACCTCAGACTGATTTAACATTTTCTAAGAGGGCACCTTATCTTCCCTTAAAAAGCAATTAAGAAAATTTGAAATTCCTTTCTAATATATCCTCTCCTGTCTTGAACTGGAATGCTGAAAGTAGGGAAATTTTTAAGATCTCATACATGTTCTTATTTTCTAATCTTATTCTTCTGAGAAGTAAATTAGAAGGTATAATAAAATGCTTAAAAAAAGAATAAGAACAAAATAAAATAAAATTTAAGATGGATAGATATAAAAGAACAAAATAAAAAAATACATTCAGGACAAAAAAGTAATATAAAAGTACTGGAAAAAAATTTAAAAACTTGGTTGCAAGGAATAGGAGATAGTAAGAACCATGATAATCATAGAAGCAAATTTTTTTCAAAAAAAGTTTCAAGAGTTTCCTTTAGTTGTGACACATAGTCTTCCTCAGAATTTTTGTGTTAAATCAGGTTGAATATAATATCCTTACCGAAAATTTCTGTGCTCATTTTAATTTAAAGATTTAATAGTTTTTTTCATTTCAAGTTGTACCATGGTTTTCTTCTATCTCAGAGTTCAATTAAGGACCAATTAAAAGCTTATGGAGCTCTTACTGAGAATGTGACTAGGAAATATACCCGTCAGATTCTGGAGGGCGTCCATTATTTGCACAGTAATATGATTGTTCATAGAGATATCAAAGGTAAGTAATGAGGTATCTTTTACTTTTAATACATAGTTTCTTTCAGTGAATGTGAGTGAAACAAGTGATATGATTAGAAATTTGATATTTAATATACCTACCTTTAAAAGATTATATGAAAACTGTTTTGCTTTCTTGCTGACTTGGTCAATGTTCAGACTATTCCTGATTCCTCTATAAATGGAAAACTCCCCTGTGGGGTTTACAGAATCAATACAGTTCAAATGAGCATTAGGCCATGCTTTCATTTAGAGAGCATAGGCACTAGAAAAATATAGAATATACATGATTGTAGGGGCTATGACTCCAGATGGCCTGATAAGAATTTGGACTTTATCAACATCACTGTGTGACCTTGGACAAAACATTTGTTCTTTTTGTATGCCTTAGTTATTTATTTTTGTTAAAGATTTATTTATGCTTACAGAACTGGGGTACAGGCCATAGGTATGGTGGGTGAGAGTATTCACCAGAGACAGAGTAGGGAGCAGAACAGGCAGATCTACTGAAATACACTGCTGAGGGGAGCAGCAGGCGGGTCAGGAGAGGTCTGCCACGCCATGTGGGTCAGCTCCCTTACGGGAGATCGAACTCTAGTTGCAGTGGCTTCGAAGAGCTTCGTAATATGGTGCTTTAACCCTTATTACTTATTTTTAAGAGGGTGGTAATAGTATCTAACACATAGGATTTTTTTTTTAAAGATTTATTTATTTATGCATACAGAACTGGGGTACAGGCCAGAGATGTGGAGGGTGAGAGGCTTCACTAGAGACAGAGTGGGGAGCAGAATAGGCAGATCGACGAAGTACACTGCTGAGGGGAGCAGCGGGCGTGTCAGGAGAGGTCTGCCGCACCATGTGGTCACCTCCGGGGCAGGCGGGAGTCGAACTCATGCAGAAGCCGTCTTAGATTCTCAGTGCTGTGCTTTAACCCGCTGCGCCACCAGGGAGGGCCTAACACATAGGATTTTTATGAGGATTGAATGGCAGTATATGTAGCGTACTTAAAACAGTACCTGGTATCTAAAAAGCACTAAAAAATTGGCAACAATGATGACTACTTTGTGTTGAGGTCATATTTAAAATCATGGGAGTGGAAGTCATCACCTAGGAGAGGAAAAAAAGAGAAGGGAGCCCAAAACATGGCTTTCATGAACTTCAACTAAGTTAAGCTCACTTTTAAAAACTAAAACTCTTTTCAGTGATCAAATACATAAAGTAAAAGCATAAAGTGAGACAAAAGCAAAAGTTGATATATAAAATTTGAAAGTGCTTAAGACTCTCAACTGTAAAGGATAACTGGAGACCTGAGTCTATAAAACCTGGGTTGTGACCCCAATTCTAAAGATCATTTTATTCATCCAATAAGAAGCAGAATAAATAATTATATGCCCTGAAACAGATCATATGAACTAGAATGGAAGCCTGCTCTAAGTCTGATAAAATAGTGACATGGCTTATATTAAGGAAAAGAGAAATAGGAACCTTTCTTCATTTCATGATCTTTCCAATTTAGACAGACTTTGTTATCAAGTACAAAATCTGATAGCTAAAAGAAAATTATTCAATTATTAATTATCCTAACAGGAATAATCTCTTTACAAGTTAGCCTTTCTGACATTGCAAGAAAGTGATATATCATTGTGGTAAAATGAGGAAGTTGGGTGCAAGCTTATTTAACAGCATTTATAGGGCAAATATAAAAGGAAGATGTCAAATTAGATATGTAGTAGGGTTTTAAGTTTCTAAAATAAAAGTATGACTTAGAAGAAAGATTTCCATGTGATTAATCAACTACATTTTCTTGTGCATCTTTACTTCTTTTGTATTTCTCAAAAAAATTTTTTAGAGATTTATTTATATGTAGAGAACTGGGGTACAGGCCAGAGGTGCAGGGGCGGTGAGAGGATTCATCAGAGACAGGCAGACTGACAAAGTACATTGCTGAGGGGAGCAGCGGGCAGGTCAGGAGAGGTCTGCTGCGCCATGTGTGTCACCTCCGGGGCAGGGATCGAACTCATGCTGAAATGGCTTTAGCTTCTTAGTGCTGTGCTTTAATCTGCTGTGCCACCAGGGAGGGCCCTATTTCTCAAATTTTTCACTGGTGCATTATTTAAATGGTGAAGGGGAAGGAAAGTTTGTAATGAAACTTAGGCTAAAAGCTAATTGGTTGTTGCCAGGAAACCAACTCATTTCATAATAGGGTTCCTTAATTCAGCCTTTCTATTATGAATATACCATTAATGACCAAATGAAATGATAGAATAAAACTTATTTTCTATAGGAGAAGATAAGTTAAAAAGAACTTTTCACTATGAAAACTTATCTTCTATAGAAATGTAAAGTAAATTGCTCTTGTTATACAATATATAGAGTATTTTTGTACACAATATATTTTGGCTAACAAATGAAGAAGGAATGATAGAACAGTATCATTCTGTAACCAATAAACTAATAGATACAAATAGTAAACATTAACAGTTCCTGACAACTAAAACAGTCTAGCTTTACCTGCTTCCTGTTTATAGAATAAATCATCTTTGAAGCAGTTTTGCTAAGATACAATGTGTATATATGTATATTGATTTAGCTGCTGATTCAGTTACTGAATATATATGTTTCTATATAGGACAGATGTACATATAAAATGACCCTTTTCGAAGGAGTTATAGCAAAATCTAGACCACAAGAAAACTACAGGCAAGCAACTTCAATTCTTTATAAATTTCAGAGGATAATAAGAGATTAGAAGTAACTTTAGGCCAGTAAAGATTTAACTGATAATAAGTCTCAATGTATGGACTTTCCTTGGACTCTTGACTTTTTTTAATTATAAAAAACACTGAATATATTTAATAATTTAAGGAGTTATTATCCATCCTCATAGGTGTGATAAGAGTCCTTATCTTTTAAAGATATATACTGAGCTATTTATTGATCATGATGTCTTGAATTTGCATCAAGTAATATGAGCGGGAAAGAAGGAGTGGCTGCAAATGTGGTTGGGGAGATTGTCTAGATGACTGTTGGCACTGGGTTATGGGTACGTATTTGTTATCCTGTCTGCTTTTGTGTGTTTGAAGTCTCCTTAGTAACTTACATTTAACATATACAAAATAGAATTTTCAAAAACTAGAAAGCTATACTGAGAACCTGGCTATGTATTTCCTTCTCAACTGCTCTTGCAGTAGGGCAATAGCTTAGTGACCCTTGCTAGAAGACAGCTCTCCCTGTCTGTGGGCTGACTAAGGCTGTTCCTTCTTAACTCAAAGCTGACTTGTTTATTGTTCTCCCTTGGTTAAATATTTTAGAGGTAGTGACTTTTTTGACAGAATCTTTCCTTAAGTATGATGATGGGACATGTTAAACAGGCAGTCCCTGATTTAGAACATCACTGGCTATGGCATACTTTAGTGTATGGCACAGTGAACTTATCTTGAGCCCTCCCTAGGGGAGAGAATTTGGAGAGCCCTTATTGTCTAGGTTGGGCAATTTTCTTGGGACAAAAAGACAAATGCAGAAGCTCACAGTGGAGATAGTTGATGTTCTCTCCAGCCTGTAATACAGATTTCCCCCTCACTTTCTCTAAACATTCAGTGTTCACGCGGTGCATATTTAATGAGCACTGCCTGAGTGACTGGCATTATGCCAGTACTACTCAGAAAATGAAAAGCAGCCTCATTTTGGAGACAGATTGAAGAATCTACAAAGTAATTTTCCACCTTTTTTTTTGCTTGTTTTTGCAAACTACCACTCAGGTAACAAAATATGGATATAATTTTTCTTTTTTACCAGGTGCAAATATTCTGCGAGATTCAACAGGCAATGTCAAGTTAGGAGATTTTGGGGCCAGCAAACGACTTCAAACCATCTGTCTTTCGGGGACCGGAATGAAATCTGTCACAGGCACACCATACTGGATGAGCCCTGAAGTAATTAGTGGAGAAGGCTATGGCAGAAAAGCAGATATCTGGTAGGTACTGATGCGTTTGCTGAAAGCACCTACTTTCTTATTAGGTATTTCCACCCAGGAAATACCTAATACCTACTTTTGAAATAAAGTATCAGGGTTGCAAGGATTAGTATTTTAGTTAGGCCTTTTTGAGGCTTATAATTAACTAAATACTGTCTTTGAAATTATTTTTCATCCTCTAGGGGGGATTTTGTCTTAACCAAACTTCAGGTTAGAAAAAAACTTTGTTTTCTTACCCTGAAGAACTTTAAAAGTAATTCATCTCTATTGTTAGACTCTTATAATTCCATTTTGAATCTTTAATAACTTTAAGATAGACATAAAATGGCCATTTTCTGTTTGCCACCCAAAAAAAGGTTAATATTTGCTTTAGGTACCTAATGTTACATTAAAAGTAGTATATTCAGCTAATTAAAATGTGGGGTTAGAGAATTAAATATAACAAACAATGTTCTTTCCCTCACCATTTGAGTCCATTCTTAAATTGTTTATTTTCTTTCATTTTTATACAGATTTATGCCTGTAGTTTGAAATACAGATTTATATTATGTCAACCTTTAAAAATTATATATACATATATAGAGATAGATAGATAGTTGTATACATTGTTGTTTATTTTTGCTTTCTCTTTTCAGTTGTAGTCTCTATAAAATTCCTACCACCAATTCACCAGTGAACCATCACCATATTCCCTTGTGCTCTTCCTGCCCCTTGCTTTGATCCCTCTTGTACTCCTTCCCTTGCATTGTCTTTGATTTATAGCAGGCATAATGTTGCCTGCTAGTTTTGTTTTTTTATTATTTTTTTTTCCTGATCCCTTACTTGCTCCCCCTATATTCGCCCATAAGTGAAACCATCTCATATTTTCTTTTTCCTTCTGATTTATTTCACCAAGCACAGTCCTTTCCAGCTGTACCATGTTGCTGCAAATGGCATGAGTTTCTTTATTGATTGTTGAAAAATATTCCACTGTGTATATATACCTCATCTTCTTGATCTAGTCATCTGTTTTTGGGTGTTTGGGTTTCTGTAGCTTACCTATTGTAAAGAGTGCTGCAGTAAACGTAAGGGTATATGTATCCTTTTGAGTTAATGTTTTTATATAGTTACAACCTTTTGATGAAAGTATAAACTTGAAAGTCAAGTCATTTAAATATATATGGACTTTATGTCTCCTCATTTTGTAAGTAACTGGCTTTCTTTTGTGATCATATTGTTTGAATGATATATATATATATATATATATATATATATACACACATATATATATAAAATTTTTAAATTTCATTTTAGGAGTGTGGGCTGTACTGTGGTAGAAATGTTGACTGAAAAGCCTCCTTGGGCAGAATTTGAAGCTATGGCTGCCATCTTCAAAATCGCCACTCAGCCAACAAACCCAAAGCTGCCACCTCATGTCTCAGACTATACTCGAGATTTCCTCAAACGGATCTTCGTTGAGGCCAAACTGAGACCTTCAGCTGATGAACTCCTAAGGCACATGTTTGTGCACTATCACTAGCAGCCAGTAACCTCTCCTGTGCCTCTACCAGTCCCATCTCTTCCTTCACCTTCTCTCTGACTGCACTTTTCTTTTTTATAAAAAAAGAGAGATGGGGAGAAAAAGAGACAAGAGGGAAGTACTTCTCTTGATTCTTATTTAAATTTGCTTAATAATAGTAACCTAAATTTTTTATATTTTTTTCCCTTACAAGAACTTGAAACCTTTTTTTTTTTTTTTAATTTTTATAATATACTGATGTGGTTCAGAGAGATAAAGCACTTTAGTACATAGTCACTCTTTGTAGTATAAACAAATCATGTGGAATACCTAAAGATTGTAGAGTCTTTCCCTGTGTCACTGACAGATTGGTGGGGATGGAAAGACATGAAAAACAAGGAAAAGAAGATGATGTATAATTTGTAGTTTTTAGTAGTAGTATTTAAATTGATCCTCATTTGTAGGGTTGAGCCCTAACTTGAGTTTAGGGTAGGTACTCAATTTAAAGAATATGGGTTCCTTCTTATATCTGTATTCTTTAGATCTTAACTTCTGTCTACCAAGCTTTTTGCTCAGTAGGAATCTTGATAGAAAATATGAATTTTCAAGAGGTATGTTTGTTAATCCTACCAGTATAATAAGCAAATACACTATAATAGATCCATGTTACTGGAATCTGTAAACCTTGAGGGATAACTTTCTGCTTTAAAAAAGAACAAAAACAAAAACAAAAAAGGTATCTTAAAGCAGATATGGTAAACCAATAAGTAAATGCAAATTGAAAGACAAAAGGATGTTGTGTGAGCAAAAGAGACCACATTTGCCAATCAACAGAAATAATGGGGAAAAAAAGAACTATGTGTATTATGAGAAATGTTCTTGAACTGAGGGGGACTTCTCAAAATTAAGGGAAAGGAGAAATAATCAAAATCATGTACACAGTCTTTCTATTCTTACTTCCTGATTCCCCCATAGGTAGCATCTAGGAATTAAGAATTTAATTTGGAGTATCCATGTTTAAAGATCGTGTCATGAGATAAAACCATTGTTCTTGGAATAACAGAATATTATAGCACCTCAAAAGACAATTATGTGAAACTGGTTCTCTAGGGTAGCATGGGGATGATTTCACTTGGCTTTTGTCAATGCCTGCAGACATTTTTGGTTTTCCTGCTATGAGGATGCTGCTGACATCTAGTGGAGAGCGACCAGGATTACTGCTGAAAAAACTGCAATATACAAGGATAGCACCCCCTACTGCCCACAAAGAATTGCCCTGCCCAAAATGTCAGAAGTGCCAAAGCTGAAAAATCCTGTTGTGTAGCCCTAGTTGCAAAATGAAAACAGCCATTCACAAAGCAGGGTCCTTAGAAAAAGTAAATATCAGAGAGGAAGTGATATAATGCAATATGAGGGTTTTTACAAGAACAGATATACCTTTACTTCTAGTCAAAGGTGAATGATCACAACAAATAGCAGTCCTTTCCTTAAGCTGCACTTGCACCCAAATAACTAGTAACTTCAATTTTAGAAACATAATTTATTTTAAACATAAAGCCCTTTGAACTCAACCATCTGAATATACTTTTTCCTCAAAGCCAGTTCATAATTGTGGGAAAAGGAAGCATATTAAAGCAGAGTATTAACTACTTCATAGGAAGGTTAAAATCCCCAGGTATTTCTAGTATATTTCATTCATTAAGAGCAAGAGGCCATTGATGGAAAGTAGCAATTGGGAAAAACCCCAGTAGCTCTAATGGGATTGTGCTACTGAAAAACCTGAGTGATAGCAGTAATTTGACCGCTTGAGGTTTTTTCAGCATATTAAAGCAAGTGCTAAGTACTTTATTTTAAAGGTCTAGAAAATAGTAGTCTTCCTGGAGTCCCTAAATGTGAACCCTTTCATGAGATCCTTAAGGTACTTGGGTATTTTTATTTCCTATTAGGTATGCTTCAATATGGACTCTTTTAAAATACTTTGTTTTTTAAGTTAGGATAGATCTTGGTTTACTTTGTGAAGGTCCAATCTGGCATTCTCTATAGGGAATTTGAAATTCCACTAACTGGCCTGAAGAGAAGTCAAGCACAAATAGAGTTGTTAAAGCATCTATCAGAGGAAGCAGCTTGCAAAGAAAGAATGTGGATTCGTGGCCCCACCCCTAAGGAAATCTATTGCCAAACTTGTTTATAAATATATCCCCCAAGGATATGGATCTGTTATCATTTCCTTATCTTTTATGAGTGAGGGTATCTCTTCTGCTTGAGCAAGATGATGGTATTTAGGCCAGTGGGATTTTTCTTCATTTCTTTTGTCTTGTTTGATTCTGGATTTCCATTTGATTTTTTTTTTTTGGTCTGTCAGGGTAACTAGAAATGCAGAATATGAGACAAATGTTCTTTAGAGATAAATCTTGGGAGACTGTAAAACCCAAAGCAAAACTGCTTTTCAGCCTTTTTTTTTCCTCTTCTAATGCTATAGAAAATAAAATCACCTAAAAAAAATACTACTATAATAACTGCTGCAGAAGACCTTTGTTTTATAAGAAAAATATTATTAGCTATGGGAAAGTATTGTTCTTTATGTAAAGACTTTTAAAATAGGCTAATAGTTTAGAGAGTTATTATGTAAAATGTGGTGTGAATTTATTTGAAATGAGTTGTAAAGGTACCAAATACCATAATAAAAGTTAATATATTAAAAAACTACAAGAACAGAAAAGCTTGAAGTGGGTGGGGGTATGAAAGATCAAAAGGAAATTTAAAAAAGGAAATTTTGAAAGGAAATACCTTTATCAGGGACAGTTAAATATTAACACTCCAGTTTTTCTTTCTAATAATGGTGTGGACCTACAAACAAAATTTAAGCTTTTTAAGATGACTCTAAATGTATTTTGTTTTTTAAATGCATAATTGATTCTACTATAGTGTAATGTGTCTTTGATGAGGCTGGAAAATGACCAGACTGCTGACTTTGTGCCTTTAAAATGCATTCTGCTTTGAATAGTGGCAGATTTTTTGGTGCTGGAGAAGATTCACTAGCAGTCTTATGTGTGCTTTTCAGGAAATATCTTTCTACGTAGGCCTTGAGAGATTCAAAATAGCATGGCTTAGGCTCGGACCAAAATATAAGATCCTCTACATTGCAAACAAAGTGTGTTGAATAAAGGGATTGAAGAATACTATAATGGCTAGTAGATACTATGATGGCCGAAAATTCTTTGAACTGTCTACAGACTGAAATTTTCAATATGAATATCTTGAAAACTTTCCAAGTTTCCTCATTCATAAAACATGTTTCTAACTTGAAAAATGGTTAGAGACTACTACTGCCTTAGAAAGTTTTCAAAGTTACAGTCAGTAAATAATTTATGAAATTGAATTGTTAACAAATGTGCTGAAGTTAAAATTTATTTCCAAGTAAATTGGAGTGGCTATCACTTAAGAAAGTCTTTATGTTATTCCCTATAGAAACTACATTTAAAAGATGGAATTATTTCTTTAGCTTTTTGTTACTTCAGCTCATACAAATGTTGGGTCTGGTCTGTAGTATTCTGAGATACTAAGAAAGTCAAATCTGAATAGTTTATAGAAATTACCAAGCTTGAATGCAAAAGCTAAGATGTTTGCTAGATCCAGACTCCTTGACCCCTGGCAGAGTTCTGTGCCAATAATTTTATTTGGGGTCTGGAGACCAAATTTAATTATAACATCACCTGGTGTAAATTAAGTATAGCAGTGTAACAGTTTTTTGTTTTTTAAAAAATAGGATGAGTCTTTTTTATTTGTTTATTCAATAATTATGGCTTATTGTATCAGGTACTAAATTAACTTATCATTAAGGAGGTCATGTCTAGGAGGAAATATGAGCAAACTACTAATAGTAATTTGGGTAATCATTGGCTTGTATATACTAAAGTGTTATTCACATTAGAGATTAAAAAATTTCCAAATTGAAGGAAAGCCCACTAACCCATAAGACAGAGAGCCTCTCTTCTCAAGACTCTCTTAACCCTACTTGTCCAAGTGAAGGGGACATTTATCCCATAACATAGTGGGTTTTTTCCTGCTGTTTTTCTTTTTGAAGAAAAGAATATTTTCTTTTGGCCCTAATTGTTAAAATACCCAAAACATTTGATAGAAATTGAATTCTGTCAACAGGGTTATTTAAGTTTGGTCTTTGTTACAAATCAGATGTTCATATTTATTAGAGTTTTAAGATTAGTTAAATGTTAATGAAAAGAATATTGTTAATTTTTGGTCGTGCCTTTTTCTCTTTATGCCTTAATTTTATTTTATATCAAGAACAATTCATGTTGCCCACTGAAATGAAGGTTTTACCCAAATCAGTAGATTTTAAAAGTTCATTTGGCCTTAGACTGTGTATTGACTCTTAAATACTTGTTAATGTCAGTTTCCTCCTCTTCCCTTTTCTACCTCCTTTTTTTTTATGTTAGAAGAGAAACATTAACATTAATCTGTGATATACACACTTCAGTTTCTACTAGAAGTGAACTTCTAAGATAAGAGGTATTCTAATTCTGAAGAGACATAGAAAATTGTTTTTCAGGTTGAAAAATTTTGTCCGAATTCTTTGTATATCATGATTCAATTACGATTTATAGCAGAGCTAGAATGGTTATTTTTGCCCTGAGCTTGTTTAAATGGTTTACAAATGTTAAGGTCATGTGAGTTAGGGCAATGAACAAGAAATCCAGGGATAGTGAATTCTAATCCTTTCTAAGTAACATTTTGAGTAAACTCTAGCTTACTTTTCTGTGAAGTGTGTGTGTCTATATGTGGGTGTGGGTGTATGGGGGGGGGTGGTTGGGCAGGGTTGGGAAGGAAGAAAAGGTATGAATGTTTCATTATATTAGACTGTTCTTGGAAGAACAACTCAGAAGTGTATGACCTACTGATGATGGATGAGTGTAAACTGGCTTCTGCTAGGAAAGCCAGCACATTTTCTGCAAGTAGCTAGTAAAATGATTGTTTAACAAAGTATTTATTGTAAATTGCCAAGCTCTTGGTTGCTAAAAGTAGATTAAAATTGAACTTGTGTATATAATTGTGAGCATATGTATAAATCTTAAATAGTAATTGATTTTACATAGTTCTTTATGTAACTATGTAACTATAGACATAATCAAAACAAGCTTCCTTAGCTTACCAAGTATTCAAAATAAAATTATCTGATACCTCCTTTTGGTTGGCTAAGGAAGGCGTGCTGTGAAGCTATTGTTCCAACTTCATAGTTGTCTTTAGCTTTGCTTTGACTTCTGCCACCGTCTGGACAGTATGCAACAATAGGTGTAGGAGCATCAGGGCCCATTTTCTCTCTATACTTATTTGTCAGAATTGTAGTAATGGGCTCTCTGGAGAGTCTACATAATCATCTTTCAGTGATAGTGTGGTCATGGTTTAGTTTCAGAAAATCAAAGGAGGAGTCATAGCTCTAGTAAAGAAAAGAACAAAGTTTGTTTGTTGCTGTACACAGTTTCTTATATAATTCTTCCTGTTTTTCATAATTGTGCATTTAAATTTATAGCTATAACAATTTTTTGGTTAATAACTGCGAAGGCATTAAATCAGTGAGTACTATTATTCCTTATGCCTGATGACTTGTTTGTATTCACAGTCTATTATCAGAATCACTTTAAACCAAAGTTTTTATATTCCCAGCAAACATAGCCAAAATAATTAGCAGTTACTTCTGCCCACCTGTAAGCTAATTGTGTAAAAGCAGACACTAGTAGAATTTATATCTTTTAAGTAAAAGGTGCTCAGTGTTTGCATTTAGACATGTAGAATTTACTTCATCTATTAAGGAGCTATATAGATGTAACAAACTTGAGTTTGTATATGTGCCAATCCTAGTAACGTCACTTGACCATAGATATGTACATATACAATGGCATATGGTGCCTCAGGTTGGTGGTGTAATCTTCCTAGTATTTTGTTTGACATTTAGGAGCTTGTGTTTGACTTGAGGGGCATTTCAGGAAAGCTGTGAAGAAAAGGAAGTTATAGATTGCCATCTGATTTGTGCCATAAACATTTTGGAACATAAGGAATAATGAGCTCTTCAGTACACATGTAGAATTTGTCCCCCGATAAGGATTTCAGAGTCTCTTAATGCCATTAACAGTCAAGTTTGTGACTATACTGAAAAGCACTTTTGTGTTCACTTATTTATATATTTTTAGAATTTATTTTTTTAAAAGCTTGTGGTTAGAGGTGATATTTAGCATTACGTGGAGGGGACAGGTGTAACAAAATTACACCTTAAATTCTGTTAGATACAGAGGATCCAAATGGATTTGTCATATTTTCATTTTTTCCAAAGATATTTTTTCCACCTGGAGTAAGAAGGAAACATTTGAGTTGGAATGACTTATGGGCAAGAAAATGGGCCAAAATCTTGCAATATTCCCTGTCCATTTGAAGGTACAGTGTTTAAGGATAAGAGTACTTATTTTAAAACTATTGTTTATAATACAATCATAATTAGTAAGTGAAGGTTTACATTTTTTCTATTGCTGATGGTTCTAAAATTTGCTACCCTATGTTCTGAAATATTATAAATGAGTTAATACCAAAAATACTCCTAACGTCTGACATCTCTTACATTTCATATGGTTCTTCTTATTCAAATATCATTGTACATAAAAGTAAACATGGATAAATTTGAATATAAACTTTTCACTATTGCAATTTGTAGATTTACCCCTTGACCTAATGTACACTTTTAAATGTAGCCATTAAATTCCCTGCATTTAAGGTATTCATTTCTCTCTAAACATTTTTAATATCAGTTGAATGCTGGGCAATTTATAATTATATACAAAGGTGTTCTTTTCCTATCAAGTCTGACTTTTTTGCACATTTTTGGAAATGTTTAATTTGTACACTGATTTACTATTCCGACCAATAGTTGTTGATGAGTGCATGAACATCATGAATGGGTGCATTAAACTACTGTCTGTCTCTACATTTTAACTTTCAAGATGTAGCCATCAGTAACTGCACTGCTATTACTGATTCAAGTGAACCTTCTTGATTTTACAGAGTAAATTTACCTCTGGTTCTATCTTTGTTGAAGAACTCAGGAGTTCACCATCACTTTCTGGTTTTGTATGTATTCTAAAATCCATGACGAGGTTGAAAGTATGCTTGTAACTGTCTATCAGAGAGAGAGAATGTGTGTGTGTGTGTCTTTTTCTCTGTAGGCACATGTATATATCTCAGTAATTTCCTACTTTCTTTTCATTCCTACATTTTTATGAACTTGTTTTATAAGGGTACTGTTTAGTTAGAATAATTAAATATATATAAAAGCTTTCTGAGAGATTATTTACTATATGAATATATTTTCAGCTGGCTGATCAAAAGTATTTTTTTAATTTTGTTTTTAACCATTCAAAATGTATTTCCAGAATTGGATGCATATATTACTTAAATACCAATTAAAATACTCTTGCTAGGAGAAGCAATGAATTTCAAGAATTCTATGATGTGCAAATTCAGAGGAAAATAGATTAGAACAGCAGCAGCAACAGTTTGTCCACTAAAATAGCCCTTGAATTCTCAGAGCTATGAAAAAATGTGAATTAAATTGTCTTGAAGAGATGTCAAGTTTTTATATCTCCAGTTGTTGTTGGCCTGTCTTAGTGTTGTTGTTTTTTAAATATTTCTTTTATTCTATCCTAAAAGATTTCAATTTTCTCTTGTTCTTTTACTGGGCAAGGTCAGGCTACATTTATAAAAGAACACATTGACATTGTAATTCTCTGTAATGACTATAAATTGATTTAGAAATGTCCAAACATAATTGCTTTGTCTTTATACTGTACGGTGTATTTTAAGTAACTAGCAGAAAAAGAATTGGAAATCAAATTTCTAGTCTGACAATGTTACTGTACTGACGGAAGACCTTGTTTTTAATATGCGGTACCATGTAAAATTACTTGTGTTAGAAATAAAGTCCATTGTTGGAAGTTGAATAATATGTTACAAGGAGCCAATATGATTAGAAAAAAACTACCAGAAGCCAGATACAGTGTGATATGTGCCACATTTCATGCACATTTTGACTTTGTGTTGTTCATTTATAATTGTGCTTGTAAAAAATGTATAAAATTTCTGAGTTTTATACTTTTATGTATTTGTTTTTTCTTGCTGGTAAATAGCTTTTTTTTTTAAATGTAAAAGAAACCATGTTTATATTTTGTTAGTGATCAAAGACTTTGTTTATATGGAAATTTGTATATTGTTGGCACACATCTTTGTTTTGATTTATCGTGCATGAAGGCTTGCAATAATTAGCACAATGAAAATTGTTTTTTCTTACATGTTAGTTCATCTTTTGGAAGATTGTGGTGCAAAGGCTTACTCTAAGTAACCTGGACTAAGGAATGAACATAAATGAATGGCACTTTGAGTGTTAATAAAGCTGATATTTATTTCCACTGTGATTGGCTTGTCGTGATTTGTTCTTGGGCACAGGGAATTCACAGTTTTTTCTCTTTTGTCTAGGTTGATCACTTTCTAGGAGACCAAGCACAAACTAATCTAGAAATATTGACATAAACCTTTCCAGAATAGGGCCTTCCTGGTGGCACAAGGGGTAGAGATACAGTGCTATCAAGCTGTTGGCAGCCACTGCAGCATGGGTTCAATTCCCAGCCAGGGAACTAACACACATGGTGCAGCAGATCTCTCCTGTCTTGCCCATCTGACCCTCAACAGTGTATTTCAGTGGATCTCCCTGTTCTGCTCCCCACTCTTATATGGTAAAACCTCTTACCTCCTGCTCCTCTGGCCTGCATCCCAGTTTTGTATGATAAATTAAAAAAAAAAAACAACTTTCCAGAATGTAAGTATATAATGTCCTTCCCAACATGCTTTGTCATGTGTTGTGTTTTTTTTTAAAAGATTTATTTATTTATGCATACAGAACTGGGGTACAGGCCAGAGGTGCAGAGGCAGTGAGAGGATTCACCAGAGACAGAGTGGGGAGCAGAATAGGCCGACTGATGAAGTACACTGCTGAGGGGAGCAGTGGGCAGGTCAGCAGAGGTCTGCTGTGCCACGTGGGTCACCTCCGGGACAGGTGGGAATCGAACACATGCGGAAGTGGCTTTAGCTTCATAGTGCTGTGCCACCAGGGAGGGCCCTGTCATATATTTCATGACACTTTGATTTGCCAAATCGGTGTAATTAAAAATGAACCATACTTAGAATAGAAGGAAATCACTTAAATTAAGACCTTTGTATAATGGGGCAATGCAAGTTAAAATCCTCAGAAATTTCTGTATCTTCTGACCCAGCATTTCTATCTCTAGGAAGTAACCCTCTAGAAGTGGTTGCAATTGCGCTAAGGCATAGCTATTAAAAACCCCTACTGGGATCCAACAATAGTGGCTGTTATAATAGTACCAAAAACTGGATGGTATATAACAATGGAAATTTAGTGTCTTAGCTGGGAAGCTTAGGCCCCAAAAGAAAGTGTTAGCAGATGTCTAAAAACTGTAGGAAAATCCTTCCTGGCCCTTTCCTAATTTCTTGTAGCTGCAGGTATTCCTCCAGTCTTTGCCTCCTCTCTTCAGACTGTTCTGTGTATGTCTGTTCCTCTGTGTATTTTCTTTTTCTATAAGGATGCCAGCCCTATCAGATTAGGGCCCTCCTTAGTGACTTTACCTGTTTCCAAATAGTGCACATTCTGAAGTACTGGGATTAGGGCTTCAAAACACTTTTTGAGAGGGGTAAACAGTCTGCCTTATGG